GTAGTGCACCCTTCATCTGGGTCTTCTGTCTGCATTCTCTCCTTAGCTAGTCACACACAGTCCTGGGACCAGCTGCTTCCAAGACTCTATTTCCAGCTCAGATAGCTCTAGAGAATGTGGCATTGGTGCAAAACCCAACTAATCCAACTCCTTCTCCCACCACCACTCTAAATGTCCCAGTTCAAAAGAGAACTCAAGGCATCCCCTCCTCAGCCTGTTCCTCATTCATTCTCCCCTATTTGGAAACACAGAATCCTCAGTTGCTCAAACCAGGAGTATTTGTTATCCCAGCAGCCAGCCAGTCATCTGCAAGTTTTAGCAACACTACCTTATCCAGAACCCGTTGCTGGCTTTGTCTCCTGGGAACCTCTGCAGCTTCAACATGCCCTCACCGTCGTCCTCCCCTCAGCCCACACCCCACATCGTAGCCAGAGAAATTCTTTTTTTTTTTTTTTTAATTGCAGCAGTCTGTTCTGATGTTTGCTCCTGCTTCTATCAGCGTTCCCCACCGCCCCTTTTTTTTTTAAGTTTTTTAAATTTAATTTATATGAGTACATTGTAGCTGTCTTCAGACACACCAGAAGAGGGCATCAGATCCCATTACAGATGGTTATGAGCCACCATGTGGTTGCTGGGAATTGAACTCAAGACCTCTGGAAGAGCAGTCAGTGCTCTTAACCATTGAGCCATCTCTCCAGCCTGAGAGAAATTCTGTCAACCACAGATTAGACTAGGTTGCTTCTTTCTCTAAAACGGTCTACTCTCTCCTCAGCTCACTATGCAAAGTCCTAACACCCTACAACTTGCAAAACACAAGCTGTCTCTCATTGTTTTCTCTCATTCTCCAGGAAATGCACGCCCAACGTCTGCTCATCATCTGGAGAGTCCTTGGGGCTTTGTGTTGCAAGTGCACAATAAATACTTGTTGTGAGTCAGTAAACCAACGGCTCAGAGTAGTGGTTCCCAAGCTTCCTGCGACCCTTTAATACAGTTCCTCATGCTGTGGTGACCCCCAACCATAAAATTATTTTGTTGCTAAATTTATAACTGTGACTTTACTAGTTATGAATCATAATGTAAATATCTGTGTTTCTTATGGTCTTAGGCAGCTCCTGGGAAAGGGCTGCTTTCCTTCCTGCCTCCCCCCCCCCAATAAGGAGCAACCCACAGGTTGAGAGCCTCTGTTTTGGTGGAGTATCTGAGCACACTATGCAGTTCTGCATGGGTACCTTCCTGCAGAGACCGCACATCTCATGTTAGGAGTTTACAGTTGTAGATGGATGTCATGCCTTTAGAATGGATATCTTTTTAAAATCGATATCAATTTCTAGTTTTTAGGAGCATAGATTTTCATATTGTCAGTGTGACATTTTTTGTTATGTATTTTGTGTCTTTGTGTGTGTTGTGAGTTATAATGTAAAAATATATGTGTTTTGTGATGGTCTTGGGTGACCCCTGCAGAAGAGTTGCTTGGACTCTCAAGGGTTACAACCCACAGGTTGAGAACCATTGATCTAGAAGGACAACCTTGAGGTTATAGACTGCTAAAAACAGCCTTGTCACTCAGAGTCCCAACGTGAAAAACACATCTATCACTACTATTCTTTCTGGTTTGTGTGAGGAAAAGTTTCTAGTTTGAGGATTTTCATGCTAGTTCTCTTACCGTGAGAGACCTGGGATGGCCTGTGGGGTGCTCCCTCCCTTGCTTGCTTCTCCTTGTGACAGGCAGGAGTCCTCAGCGCAAGTGACACAAGCTGAGTCCTGGGCCCTCAAGTATATGCTCCTATCCTGCCTTTCAGCTTTGCACGGGGCGGTTATCAGCACTCAGGAAGGAAAGGGTGAGAGGAGAAAATGAACCAACAGTATCTGGCTGGGAACTGGCACAATTACACAGTTGGTGACTCAGAGGAGCCACACAAAAGAGCATACCTCCCCCATGCCCTAACCCCCAAAGTGAAAGTGCCCACGGAGGCCTCAAACCCCGATGCGATGCCCGCAGGCTGAGCACGAAGGAGGGGTGCTGTAGTTTGGTCTCTTGAGAGGATGTTTTTGTTTGTGTGTTTTAAAATCTCATTCGTGCTTTGGTCTGTACTTAGCGCAGAGAAGAACCATTGGGAGGAGGGTGCAGCGGCTGCTCACGTCCAGGTCTCTCGTGGGCTTCTTGTGATGCCAGTGGCACCTGAGATTCTCCTCTAGGTCTGTTATTCTATTCAGGTTTTGCAAAATGGGGCCCAGAGAGGTGGCTCAGCAGGTAGGAGCACTGGCTGCTCTTCCAGAGGATCGGAGTTCCTAGCACCCACAGTCAGCTCACAACTGTAACTCCAGTCCCAGGGATTGCAATGTCCTCTTTGTCCTCTCAAACACTGCATCTCCATGACGCACAAACATACATTCAGTCAATCCACCCATACCCAGAAAATAAAAACAAAAGTAATATTTTTTAAAAATTTTTCAAAATGATAATATTCTAGAGGGGATTTTTTTTAAATTTTTCAAAATGATAATATTCTAGAGGGGATTTTTTTAAATTTTTCAAAATGATAATATTCTAAAGATTTTTTTTTTAATTTGCAAGATGACAACATTCTAATGGGACCCATTCCTTTCTAATTATCACTTACAGTGGTTCTCTAAAGAAAAAATTTTCCATCATCAACTATTTGGGTTGCCCTGAGATACGGTTTGAAAGGGAAATTACTGCCTACTGTTTTGAGGTTTGTTGGGTTTCAAAGAGCACAGGGAAAGAGGCAAATCTCAGATGAACAGCTGTGTTACTCAGGAAGCGAGTCATCCAGGCTCTGGCACAGGGGGAGTAGTTCTCCAATGGAAATGAGGCATCAGGCCTTCCTCTCCTCCATCCTCAGGGATTTTGCATGGATAGTCAGTAGCCCACTGCTAAGTCCCATTGCTAAGGAGGCTCTGCCTCACGATTCTGCCTTCCCCACATGCTCTCCTGTCCTGTTTCTGAGCTGCGCTCTGGTTTTTTCCAGCTCTTCCACACGTAACCCACTTTTAATTTCCTCATGGACCCATCAAGGCGCAGAGTAATGATAGGGTATTAAAAAGTGACTGCATATAATCCAAGGCGATGAACTTTATCCTAACCATCCTCCAAAGCACTCTATAGTTCTATATGTATCTCTAGTAACTGTCTAAAGCCTCTTGATGGTGTGTCACAGTAGAAAAGGCAGGGCATAGGAATATTAGGCAGCTGGCTGGTCATATGCAGTCAGGAAACGCAAAGAGAATTTTAGTGCTTTCTCTTTATCTTTATTTTACATGTATGACTGTTTTGACTGTATGCATGCCTTTGCACCATGTGTTTGCCTGGTTCCTGTGGGTGCCAGAAGAGGGTGTCCGAGTCCCTGGAACTGAAGTTACAGGTACTTGATCTGCCCCACGGGTGTTGAGCCATCTCCCTAGCCCCTCTTTTTATCGATTCTGGGACCCCAGCCTAGGGGATGGTGCTACCCACCCTCAGGACTGGTCTTTCATTCTGTCATACCTTTCTGGAAGCACCTTCACAGACTTACCCAGAGGTGTTTTTCTACAGTGATTCTATACCTGGTTAAGTTAACAATGATGATGAGCCATCCCATCCCTTTGAGGTTGTTTCACATTTCCTAATTCAGTGGATCAATCCTTTTGTTACATTCTGCCTTTTGTCCTGGAACGCCACCACTTCCTAAATAAGTTTCTGAATTCTGCATATGTTAAGATTCACTCCTTATACGGGAAGGTTTTGTGGGATTTGACCAATGGAGATGCAAATGCAAACGCACAATGTGCTCATGGTCGTGGTGCCACACAAAATAATTTTGCTACCCTGGAAACACCATGTTTTACCATCCAACCTTCTCCAACTTAAGTCCTTGGAACCTTTTGTTTGTTTGTTTTGTTTTCTGATGTGTCCTCTATCTTCCTGTTTTTGCTTTGCCCTGGATATTATATACTTAGAATCATCTACAGATTTTCTGACTTCACAATATCTACTTAATGTTCCTCTGTATTTTTGTTTGCTTGTTTTTCAAGACAGGGTTTCTATGGATAATAGCCCTGGCTGTCCTGGAATTCTGTAGACCAGGCTGGCCTCAAATGCACACTAAAGGAGTGCACCACTATGCCCAGCCATCTGTATCTTGTATAGCTTGACAGATCACTCTTTTATGGCCAAATAATACTTTATTGTACAGTTAGACCACAACTTATCAACTGGCCTATTAAATGCTTCTTGGTTGTTTTGGCTACTGATGACTATGAAATAAAATTATTATAAATATACTTTTGTGTAGATGGGTATGTGTATCTTTAAATTATTTTAATTTTACTGTTGGTATGTGTGTACGTGTGTGTGTGATGGTTATGTGTGTGTGAAGACAATGTGTATGTGCTACAGCATGCATGTGGGGTCAGAGGACAACTTTCTCTCCTCTCACCTTGTTGCCCTGTGAGAGATTTAAAGACCAGCTGGCTGGCGTACTGGGTGAGGCTCCTGTGTCTGCTTGCATCTTCTGCAGGAGTGCTGCACTTAGAGACACAGCTTACTCATCTAGGTCTCTTTATATGAGATCCAGGGATGGAACAAACGTCCATTTAAGGCTGTAGCTATGTAAGTTACAAAAAAGTGTCCCCCTCTGGAATTATGTAATATATACTGTATCATATATAACAGTCTGAGGAATGGTGGGGTTGTCCTCTGGCCCGTGCATGCACAGGCACACGAGTGCCATATACACTTGCACATACAAGTGCACTCACACACATGAACACAAAGAAGAACCAGCATGAGTAGGAGAATGTGCTTTTTAAGAGCTTTCTAAAACTCTTTATTAATCAACTTGTTAACTTTTAACAGAACCCGACTTAAAAACTCTTCAACAGTTTAAACAGCTATTTTATGTTAATAAATATCAATCCTAAAAGTGCTATGGAGAAGTAGTTACTTCAAATATAGAGACCTAGGTACCAACTGGATTATTTATGGACTGGAACCAACTAGATTACTTAGTGCTTTGCGAAGTAAGTTTTGACATGACCAAATTCAGTGTGTCCTGAATCCTTGTGTTATTTCTCTCTATTATGGAAGAACTCCTTCCGCTTGGTTTTCCGTTTTCTTCTGATTCAAGGGGGAGGAGAGTATGCGGGTTGAACAGATTTCGAGGCTCCCCCAAGATGCCAACTCTGTAAAGAGAATTACTGCTGTAGTTAATACAGTAAGTGATAAGGCCGAAGACTGTGGTTCATGGTTGCGGTCATGACTGTGAATATCAGTCTGTAATAGTGCATTCATGCATGTGTGCATGCGTACACGTACACGCACGCGCATACACACACACACACACACACACACACACACACACACACACACACACACGCTGATTCCATTTCCATACCACCACTGTGGTCTCACACATCAGCCCAAAACTCAGTCCATAGCAGAATTACGTTCTGGCTCTACTCACATCTCCCCAAGATGAATTCTTATAACAGTCCCTGAGCCCTGAAGAGTCTATCCCTCACTCCTTCAGGCTACAACTATCTGGAGTCTAGTACAACTTCTAGGGATTTGTTTTGTTTTGTTTTCTAGTCCAGATGGGCCTAAGTAGAGATGCTCTGGTCAGTGAGATAGGGGTTGGCGTGGAAACAGATGCTTTCTTCTGCCCAGTAGAGGAACCACAGTGCCTGAGCCCCTGGCTGCTCCAAGCCTGCCTAGAGGGACCAGCCACCAGACTCCCACGATTCTCCTTGGGCTGCTTACATTGGCATGGCCACAGACTTCAGACTTGTTGTGTCCTTCTCCACTCGGGGTTGGAGTTTGATGCCTGCCACATACTTTTTCTCAACGATATGTTGAGCTTTTTCTCTGAGAGATGGCAGCAGAGTAGACAAAACCGGGGAGCGCATGTCCATGGCCTTCTTAATTGCTGGACGTTTTGCCATCATCCTCCTGTGAGAGAGAGGGGGGACAGTCATATCCCAACATTCTGTTTCTTACAAATATTCTTGAGCTGAGGAAAGGTGCAGTGGTCATAGCTGAGCCAGATGTCATGGTGCAGGCTGTAATGCCAGCTGCCAGAGGCTAAGGCACATGGATTACAAGTCTGGGGCCAGCCTGAACTACAGAGAGACTTCCTTCTCAAGAACACAGAGAAAATAAACGAGAGGGCATACCTGAATTGTACCAGTGTCATGCGCTTCTTCTCTCCCCCTGATTCTTCATCCTCACGCTTCCTTCGAGGAATGTTGAACATATTGGTTCGAAAAAGCCTGCCTACCTCTTCCTCAATCTCTGTCAAGTACTGCCGTCGGAAGACAATCCAGGCTATGCACGTACAGAAGGTATAGAAGGACTGAAAGAGAAAAAAGAAAAATCGCAGGACTCAGAAATGGTGTGAAAAACTCCCAGCGTCCCACAGTGTCATTACACAGGCACGAGCCCTGGTGATGTGGCTGGTCCTTGTCCCTGGAAGCTGCACTGGGTGACACATGTCTTTATATTTGTGGGTGAGAAATCAGGCCAAAATTCTAAGATTCTAAGGTGTAGCAAACAACATCTAGTCATCCTTTTTAAAAATGAATATTTGCTTCTTCTTCTCCTTTTTTTTTTTGCATCTGTCTAATGGCTACTGGTTATTGCTTTGTGCTAATTTCATTGCAAAAACAAAAGTCCCCAAAACAAGTGGCTTACCTCAAAAAATTTCCAGTCTTTTTGTGTGTCTGATATTTTCTCCCTGAAATATAACAAGTCACAACTATGGGTGATTAGTTCATTGTCCCGAAAATACAGGATTCTAACTGGCGGCCCTATTATAATTTAGATCTGGAAGGTCCCCTGAGGCCATAGGCACCTTTGCTAGCTGGTGGCATTATCAGGAGGCAGTGGGAACTTCGGGTGACGAGGAAGTGGATCGCTGGGGATGCACCAGGCAAGGTGGCTGTCTGTTGACTCCCCTCTGTCTACTTCCCAGCTACCATGACAGATGTAAGCAGCTTTCTTCTAGCACGCCCTACCTTCATGATGCTCCTCCTAACCATAGGCCCAGAAGATGCTGAGACCTTTCCATTGTTACTGTATTTCATCTTTCTTCTCTCCCCTTGGGGGGGTCAGCGTTGTGATTTCTATGCTACACTGAGGAAGCTGAGGTTGAGGCTGAAGTCCAGTTTTCATTCTGTATTCTCATGGTGCTAGGCGGCCACCTGGAGTTGCTTCACTGATGGCGCCCTGCTACCCTGCACGCTCCTCCAAGATGGCTTTCTTTGCACTTTATAGTTGGAACCACACTTTCTGCTGGACGGTCACTGAGTATGTGTTAAGTACATCAGGTAAGTGTGTATGTGTTGTTGTTGTTGCTTGTTTGTTTTTAAAGAGAGGGGGAGAGACAGAGAGAGAGAGAGAGAGAGGAAGAACATGATGTTGAGTGGGTATAGAGTAGGGAAAATCTGGAGCAATTAGTGGAGGGGAAAGCATGATTGAAATATATTTTATAAATATTTTTCAATAAAAATTTTAACTACCGGGCGGTGGTGGCACACGCCTTTAATCCCAGCACTTGGGAGGCAGAGGCAGGCGGATTTCTGAGTTCGAGGCCAGCCTGGTCTACAGAGCGAGTTCCAGGACAGCCAGGACTACGCAGAGAAACCCTGTCTCGAACCCCCCCGCCCCCCCAAAAAACTTTAACTACAAAAAAAAACCCAAACAGCTGTAGAGTTCTTTTTAAAAGATAAAACACTGATCAATAAAATTTAATATGAATTTCTCAGATTGGATTAAGATGCTAGAAAAAAATCCATAGCCAATAAACAAAAAATGCTGTAATACAGAAAAACTCAGTAATAAATAGTGTTGGAAAAATGGAATCCTGTTAAAGAATATATATATATATA